GACAGGTATAGATCAATCGATGTAGCAGCACTCTCCTACATTTATCCTCAAATTAGTAATATATCTTTTTTTTTTTTAAAAATCAAAACCTCATTTTGAGTCATAGTATCTTTCGCTTCCCAGTTCTGGGAGTCCTTTAAGTTCTAAGTATACACAAACATCTTCTACACTCCAGTTCAAATAATCTGCCATTTTTCAAATTTAAACAAATGATATATTTATTTATCTAAACAAAACCATTCGCAATATACAATGATATATCTATTTATAATATGCATAATAAAAGCATATAGGAATAAGAAAACTGCTCGAAAAAAAAAAAAAAAAGAAACACGTTGCTTTTATAATCGCTGTTGATGTTAACAACTGTAAAAAAAACAACTCAAATGTTAAAGGCACAAATTAAATACTGTCATGATAATCATTTGTTATTGTTATTATACTATTCATTATAAATTCATACTAGCCTACCTATCCTTGCAGTCGGAAATACGTCATAATCTTTGCCGCGAACAGCTACTTTGCCGCGAACAACTACTTTGCCGCGAACAGCTACCATTTTAGTTAGGGGAAATTAAACTTTCTTTTCTGAAACGAAAACAATGGCATAACTTAAAAGTCTTAAAAATGCCCAAGAGTTGTTTTGTCTATAGGTGATTTTTGATATATATATATATATATATATATATATATATATATATATAATATGGTTACATTTTATATATATATATACAAGGCCGGCGCAATAGGGGGGTGTGTGGGGGTTCCTTTTTTTTTTTTTTTTAGTCGGCAAAAGTTGTAATGGCACCCCCCCCCACGTGACACCTACTCGCGCCCGCCCTGTATATATATATATATATATATATATATATATATATATATATATATATATATATATATATATATATATATATATATATATATATATATATGTTTTATAAGATGGTTTTGGTATTTTGAGTCAACTCTTGTGACTAATATGGTTTTGTTGTTTTAAACGCACAAGTTAGACAACTTGTGTTTTCAAAACAAGAAAACTAGAGTTTAACTTCATGTGAAAAACTTCCTGCATCTAGCCAAAGCCAAAATATTTATAAGCATCTAATGCTTCCTAATTATCTATAGCCTTAAAAGAAAATATTATAGGATTTTTATTGAATAATTATAAACGTCATGGTATTGAACTCATGGTCATTCAGTTTGATCATCTTTCCAAGTATTTGCAAGGAACTTGTATAGACATCGGTTGATTCCAAGGATTGCAAATTTATTAATATACCTTTCTGCGGCGTTAAAATCTAATTTTTCAAAGTATTTGTAAACCGAATTTTCTTTTTTTAAACTTTTCAGATCACTTTTTCGTACAAATTCTCCTGCTTTATTAACTCAACTAATCATTTATTTTCCCCCATTCAAGATGGTAACAACTTGCGCTATTGTTAATTTGTATAACCACGTGACTTTCCGTCTGCGAGGATATAACGACCGATTAGAAAAATAAAATGGCGTTTAAAGAACCCTAAATTAAGGTTCTTCGTAAAACGATTTGAAGAACTTCGTGGGTTGCTTTGTAAATAAGCCGCCGGTTCTTCAGAGAACCATTAGAGAATTTAAAGTACCCGTAGGTTCTTTAAAGAAACTTAAATTTTCTCCAAGAACCTTTAGGTTCTTCAAAGAACCGCGAAGAACCTTTTGGATTTACAGTGTATAAACATGGCTTGAAGCATCAGTTAACAACATGACGCATCTTTCAACTGATTGTTTATGAGAAGTCCAGTTGGGAACTTCCATAGGACAGTTTACAAAATCTTTAATTGTGGAAAAGGTAAGAGTACAGGTAAGTGGAGGCTCAGTTACATTTAAGTTCCATGCTATAAGGTCTGAAAGCTGTTCAGCATTAGGATTTATTTCTGGTGTTCTTTTTAATCTGAGATTACTTATCTCCAACTTGAGTTACCTTATCACCTCGTATTTTTAGAATTCTATTTTCAGCTTTTTTTCTATCTTCTGCATTTTTGCTGCAAAGCATGGTTTGTAAAATTGCTTCAGAATGTGCATACCGTGCTGATCGCCTAGTTGTTGGCATAACAATATCTAAAACAGAATTTTAAGTAGTTCTATTTGATACAAGACATGTCACTCAATCCAACTTGATTAAACTTTAATATTAAGCCAGCTAAGTATATGAACACTAACTATAAAGTTCACAATTATTATTAAATTTTCTAGATTTTCACTAGTAAGCCCATGATGATCTGAAAAATCGAAGAGCTATTGTTAGCCATCTACTGTGTCAGACTGGTCCAATTTCCAGCATTGTTAACCTGATAGGTAGTACTCCAGTCTTTATTGCTTGACAAATTTGATAGCTTTGGTCAGTGCTTATATCCTTAATAACCTCCTGACTGAGATAAATCAAAGGAGGGCCTAAATTTATCTTAACAAAGTTTGTACTGATTTCAATCTCAGTTGCTGTGTCAAGCATTTTTCCAAGTGGTCCAGAACATTTATTATAAGGTACTGTTGCACCATCTAAATGTTCAATTAGATGTTTTAACTCTAATTCACCAGCGTGTAGATCACAAACAGTCTAAACTAATCTTTTATTTAATTTTTTTTTCTACCTAATGCATGACTCTACCTACCCAACCAGTTTGACATTTGTACTATTTCCTCCAACGGCCATGAAATGTTGATTTTAATTTTTACTGTTTAGCCAGTCAACCAAGTGGTCTGCAATAACTTCAGCTTTTTTTTTTTTATTATTAGTCATATATGGAACAAAATAAAAAAGATAGTCACCACCAGGATCTTTAACAACAGAGTAATGTTCTTTTTTAATCAAATAAGGAAAATTTCTTTCATTCTCTTTTTCAAACATTTTGTGGCAAAAAGTGTTTTAATATCTTTGTAGGAATAAAAAATATTGGAGTCATCTGCATTAAGAAAACAATTTAAAAAGTCTGTTGCTAAATTTAAATTATTTATATATACAAGAATTAATAAGGGTCTTAAAATAGAGCCCTGGGAAACCCCACAAGTTGTAGCATATGTAACTGTTTGTATTCGCTCATATTGTATAAATTGCTTTTTATTGGTCAAATAACTTTTGATCCAAAGTAAGTTGTTATTTTTTACTGCATAATATTCAAGTTTTTTTATTAGTATATTATGGTTTACACTATCAAAAGCCTTTGACAGATCAATGAAAACTCCAATGTAAAGTAGTTAGAAGATAATACGTTTGTTATTTTATTTCAACCACTACAAGTTCAGTGAAATATTTCTTTTTGAAACCAAACTGTCTTGAATGCAACACATTGTTTTCTGATAAATGATTAAATAACCTGTTGTACATTATTCTTTCAAGCAATTTTGAAAAACACGGTAGTATAGATATAGGTTTATAATTAGAAATAATGTAGTCATCGTATTAAAAACCGATGTGGTTTGTGTAATTTTTCCGGGACAATATCTTTTCTAAAAGGAACATTAAAGATGTAAAACAAAAGAGGTTTAAATATATCATAAACAGATTTTACAATATTAACGTTAATTTTATCAAGTCCAGCAGTTTTGTTTGTTTTAAGATTATAAAAGGCGGTGTGATGTGTGATGGTTATATTTTAACAAACCAAAAAATTGAATAGAGTTTTAATAAGATGAGAGCCGCTAATTACTGCGTAAAAATTTACGCAATTCATACTGTTTTCTGTTATCATCACATAAATTCAATTCAAATATCACTAAAGTGCTCATATTAACCCCAGTGACAACTCCAGGAATTTTGGTGATGGTTGGGGGAAGGGGATGTTGAAATTTTTTTGTATTTTCGTATCATATTTTCGTCTACTAAAAAAAATAAGGTACTCAATTCCTCAAGATTTTTTAGGACTTTCAGATACTGATGAGGGGGGTGATGCATACCTCATCCCCCCTGGATCCGTCACTGATTAGCCCTAGATTTACAGTTTACTCTCGATCGAGATATCTCGACTACTCGATATCTCGAACTTTTGCGTGTCTTAAACTTTATTTCCGGTCCCTTGCGCATTCATTTGAGCCAAAATCCTATCTTTATCTCGAACTCCCAATATCTCGGACTTTTTTCCCGGTCCCCTGAGAGTCCGAGATACTGAGAGTCAACTGTATGTATATATATATATATATATATATATATATATATATATATATATATATATATATATATATATATATATATATATATATGTATATATATATATATATATGTATATATGTATATATGTATATATATATATATATATATATATATATATATATATATATATATATATATATATATATATATATATATGTATGTGTATATATATATGTATGTGTATATATATATATATATATATATATATATATATATATATATATATATATATATATATATATATATATATATATATATGTATGTATGTATCACCGTAATTTGATCATACGTTTGATCACACTTTTTTGAAGTTAATACTAGATCAAGTAGTAACAATAGTTTTACTTTTTTTAAAGAATAAATAAATTAATAATTTAAAAAAAAAAACAATTTTTTTTTTTTTTTAAATGGGTTTATTTATTCTTTAAAAAAAGTAAAATTGTTGTTACTAATTGATCTAGTATTAACTTCAAACAAGTGTGATCAAAAGTATGATCAAATTGCTGCAATATTGCGACAAAACCAAAAGCAAATATTTTTTGTTAAAACAAATTTGATTATAGGCAATTAGCATTAAAATACGTAAGACGGCGACATGTTCACAGCAGTTGTAAATTTATCAAACAAAAATTCATTGTGAAATAGAATAAATGTGTTAAAAAAACAACAACAAAAAAATAAAAATGTTATCTACAAATTTTTTATTTGTTTTAAAACTTAAATTTTTGGAATCTATCTAATTCTAAAATGGAAGTACGGGTACTTTAATAGACAGCATTTAAAATACCTTATCAATATCGAACATTTTTATGTTTTATAGAATTACGAGCTTTCTGTGTAAGAAAACAAAATTTCATTCAAGTTCAACGACATTCTGAAGTGAAAAATACAATGCTCAGAAAATTGTAATATCTGCGATGCTCGGCGAAAAATCAACTTTACAAATATTATGCAAGCTAATTGTAGAATGGAATTCTATTCAAAAGCATTTTCGAGGTAACTTGTGTATTTATTTTTGAATTAATTTTTTTAGGGTTGAGTTTTTGGAAGTCAGTTCTCTTTAGAAGCATGTATACTATATTTAAAAAATTTCTTTTTTTTATACAAAATTGATTATTATTTAATTTCTTTTTTTTCGTTCCAATAAACTTATAAATACCGTAAAGAATGTAATCGATATAATAAAAGTTACTTCATGAAACTTAGGTTCATGGGCGAAAAAAAATTTAAAATAAGCTAGCTTATTTGGATAATATTTAAATAAACTTCAATTTGTTTGAATTGAAATTTCGTAACGTTTATAACATTAAAAACTTTTTTTTTGAGCGTAAGTTATTTCGAACGTACGTTTTTTGAACATAATTTTTTATGTCACATAAACGTAAAACTGCTTTGAATCTAAAAATATTGTTTATAAAGTAAATTAGATTTAATTCCATTATACATCCTCGTGGGAATAGTGAATGACTTTATAGCTATTTTTTAACGATTTTTTTTCACACGTTATTGTTATCAAAATGTTGTCATAATGTTGTCAAAAAGTCTTATTAAATTTATGACTTTATTTACTTTTACTAAAATGCGCTTTTAAATGTGCTTTTTGTTAAAGATATACTTTAATCTTGCTGTTGTACCTACCAGAGCCATGGCTAGGCTATGAATGGGGTATATGGGGAATGAAATACTAAATTTAGCCGTAGACATCAATTATTGCCAGCGACCAAATACATAAACATAATAATAATACATAATAGTGGGTTGTAGTAAAATGTTTAGTATTGTAAGAAGTCAGGAAATAACATCGAGAAAGACTTTACAAAATAACATTGATGAGAAGGTTAGGAAATATAGTTACATTGAGTAAATATTTTAATGTTTACTAATTACTGGCACAAAAAGTAGTTTCAATAAAAGAGCCGTTTATTTTGAAAGTGGCCTAAGTCACTATTTTAAAAAAAGTTATTGATAATAATGATTGTAATGTAACGGTATCTCTTCATTTTTGAAGTAATATAAAACAATTGTGTTGAAAATTATTAAGATATTTGGGAAAGAAGTTGTTTAAGTTTTTTTAAGAAAATTTAAAAAATGTAAAAAACGTTAAAAAAAACCTGTGAAAAATGGTTTTCTTTCTAGTAATGAATCTTATAAGTTACTTTAAGAAATTTTAAAAAACGTAAAAAAGTTTAGTTGCAATGGTTTTTTTTTTCTTTTTTTGTATTTTCTTTTATAAAACAATAATTAATTACAATTTTATAAAATTTACATTAACTCAGGTTACAAAAATATTATGGTTTTACAATATAAAAGTTTTACAACTGTTTATATATATGTATTTTCTATTTTTTAATTATATATTTTTTTGTGTTTTTTAATTTTATATTTTTTTTTATTTTTTGTTTTTTTATTTTACAACCGTTGTATTGTATGTATTGTATTTGTATTTATTAGAACAGATAATATACATGTTCTAAAGGACACGCAGGTCCAATATTGATGGAAATCAACGCCGACAAAACTTTTCAAAATTGATTGAGTTAATTTTCCTCTTAAAGATGTTGATATTATCGGCATTAACAACATCGAAAAGCAACTGATTTCAAATGTTGACAACTCGGTAAGAGAAACTAAATTTGCGAATATCTAGTCGACAATGTTGTTTGTGCAATTTATACTTATGTCCCCGAATGTTGTTTTTGTTGTCAAAAAGAAAGAACATAGATTTATCAATTAAGACCAAGTTATGCAGAATTTTGTAGCAAATCGATAAATCATGCTTTACTCGCCTTAACTCAAGCGACTCCAAATCAAGCAACTGAAGTCGGTTATCGTAGGTTAAATTGCCTAAGTGCAGGATTTTTTTTTGTGAAACGTTTTTGCACGTTCTCAACAACCTTTATTAGTTCAACATGATATGGTGACCAAACTGGGGAGCAATATTCTAATATAGGCCTAATATATGTATTGAAGGCTTTTACTAAGATTCTAGAATCGCGAGGCTTGAAGCATTTTAAAATAAGATATGCTCTAGTATTAGCTGCATGTACAATGTTTGAGATATGCTTTTTATAGTTTAGTTGAGAGTCCAGAGTTACACCGAGATCTTTCGGAATAGAAGACCAAGCTAAAATATGATCTCCTAACTTATAGTTAAAGTTAACAAATTTTCTCGATGAAGCAGGTGCAATCCTATGAACAAAACACTTACTGGTAGAAATAGGTAGTTGCCATGTTTCTGACCAAAGTACTGCATTATTAAGAGCAATAGCTAAATAATGGTTATGGTCCGTATTGCAAAATGAATTGTATAACTTGATGTCATCGGCATAAAGTTTTAAAGAGCAATCAAGATAGTTGACTATAGCGGTTATATCATTGATATATAGTAAAAATAATGTTGGGCCTAACACGCTGCCCTGAGGAACTCCACTAACGATGCAAGTTGGGTTTGATAATGAAGTTCCAACCTTAACTTGTTGACTCCTATTGTTAAGAAATGCAGCAATCCAATTTTTTAAATTCTTATGTTAAATAAAGCTAATTTGGCTAACAATTTAGGGTGCGATACAGAATCGAATGCCTTTTGAAAGTCGATATATACAACATCTGTTGTTAGATTATTGTCTAGTACAGTACTCCAATCATTAACAGATTCTAAAAGATTAGTGCATGTAGAGCGTTTCTTGAGGAAACCATGTTGATTATTGGCTATTAAGTTATGGAGAGTGAAGTATTTAATAATATTCGAGTTATTAATTCTTTCCATTGCACGACAACAGGTGCATGTGAGTGAAATTGGTCTATAATTATTAGGGTCTGATGTTGCTCCTTTTTTAAAAATTGGAGAAACAAAAGCTTGAAGCCACTGTTGTGGTAGACTATTTGACTTAAAGCTGGCATCAAATATAAACGAAAGTGGGATACATAAAACAAGAGCTAGGTTTTTCAAAAGATTGTTCGGTATTCCGTCAGGACCATAAGATGTACTCGGTTTGAGATTGATTAAAGTTGAATAAACCGTCTCAACAGAAAAATTAATGTCTTCAATGTTTATCGAGTCGTTAACAAAACTAGTAATATTTGGTGAATAGTTGTTATCGTCCGTAAATACACTTCCAAAGTGTTTATTAAAAACTTCAGCAGTTTCTTTGTTGCTAGAAGTTAACTTGAAATTATTGTCTTTGTTCATTATAGGGTAGTTCCCTTTATGATTATTTAGTTTATTATTAACATAGTTAAGGAACTTACTGAGTTTATGGTCATCAACTAATTTGAGTTCGATTCTTTTGAGATAAGCAAACAAGGTTTGTTTACATTTGATGGCGTATGTTTTGTAAGCTTGTTTATGTAGAATGGTTTTATTAACGGAATTTCTTTTCCATAAAAATAATTTTCGACTTGACATTTTCTTGATATATTTAAGGTAATGATGACTCTTTTTACTATGACGTATTTTTCTTACCGGAACAAAACGGTCTATCCCAATTCTCATATGATTATAGAAAATGTTCCAATATTCATCAATATTGAATACATAAGAAAACTCGTAGTCCCAATTAATATTCGAAAGGTAAATTAGAAACTTATATATATTGATGAAATCATAAACTATATATATTGATGAAATATATATATTGATGAAATCATAAAAATATTCCGATTTCTTTTCGTACTGATAATTATCATTAATGTCTTTGTTCATTATAGGGTAGTTCCCTTTATGATTATTTAGTTTATTATTAACATAGTTAAGGAACTTACTGAGTTTATGGTCATCAACTAATTTGAGTTCGATTCTTTTGAGATAAGCAAACAAGGTTTGTTTACATTTGATGGCGTATGTTTTGTAAGCTTGTTTATGTAGAATGGTTTTATTAACGGAATTTCTTTTCCATAAAAATAATTTTCGACTTGACATTTTCTTGATATATTTAGGGTAATGATGACTCTTTTTACTATGACGTATTTTTCTTACCGGAACAAAACGGTCTATCCCAATTCTCATATGATTATAGAAAATGTTCCAATATTCATCAATATTGAATACATAAGAAAACTCGTAGTCCCAATTAATATTCGAAAGGTAAATTAGAAACTTATATATATCAGCATTGATGAAATCATAAAAATATTCCGATTTCTTTTCGTACTGATAATTATCATTAATGTTTAAAGAAAAATGGACTGAGTTATAGTCGCTGGTACTAAAAGGGCACTCAACAGAAATTTTACTTAAAAGAGCATTGTTATTAGAAAAAACAAGGTTTAAAATATTGGATTCACGTGTTGGTTCGTGAACAAATTGATGCATACCAAGACTATTGACAAGAGTTAAAAATAAGCTATGACATTTTTCGTTCGGTGAGATGTAGTTTAGCCGGTCAATTTTTGGTAAGTTAAAATCACCCACAAATATAAATTGAGAAACTGAGTAGTACAAATCACTTATAATTGACATCATAGAGACGAGATAGTCAAAATCTATTTTGGAATAAGAAGGTGGACGGTAGCATGTAATTAAACAAAGTTTGAGGGTTCCAAAGACTAAGTCAACGCAGATAATATCAACATCATTATTGTTTTGAGTAATCGCAACTTGTTCGGACTTAATATCATGTCGACAATAAATAGCGACTCCTCCTCCAATTTTCACACGGTCTTTACGATAAATTGAATAGCCATTAGGACAAACGATGTCATTGGTTAGTTTATTGTTAAAAAAGGTTTCGCACATGCATATTAAAGCTGGGTTGACTACCTTTGTATATAAATTAAATTCATGAAGTTTATTAGCAAGGCTTCGGGACTCTCAGCTAGATTATTTAATCTGTTTCTTTCTGCGATTAATATTTTCTTACTCTCTCGTTGAGAGAGTAAGAAAATTATCTGCGGAAAGCAATCGAGTGTTTAGATAAAGTTTTAGAATAAGATATTCAAATTAGGTTAAAAGATGATTTTAAGAAAAACAAATTATTATTACAGCAATTAAAAAGTTA